TACAAATCTCCAGCATCCTTTGCTTGCTTCACAGCTCTACTCACTACTACACAGCAGGCTTTTAACGTCGGTTAAATAGCACTTTTAACGTCGGCTAAGTTCCGAAGTTGTTCTGGGCGACGTTGTATATTCTCTATAACGTCGGCTATTTAGGTAATTAGCCGACGTTGTAGGTATTTTATCTTTTTTTTTTTTAAAATACTATACAACATTGGCTAAATGCTATTAGCCGATGTTGTAGGTATTTTATTTTATTTTTTTTTTAAATATATACAACATCGGCTAATACTAATTAGCCGACGTTGTATGTTTTTTTTTTTTAATATACAGTTTATTTGTCCATTTCTACCCAAAAACCTGCTCAAATTACTCACATCCACAACCACAACCTAAACCTGCTCAATTTCTCACAACCACAACCAAAACCTGCTCAATTATTACACCACAACCACAGCAAAATATGTAGAATCTAATATTTATAATGAAACAAGTAATAAAAGTAATAAATCTCACAATTTGATACTAATTAATAATACAAGTTAACATTATCAAAACCTAATATCAAATTGTTCAATTTACATACTTAACCATACATCAACACATTAAAGAAGTCGGCTCATACGTCTCTTACTTGATCAATTTCTTGTTGAGTGTAGCTCGATCCACGAACTCTCTCAACAATCTACAAAGTTGATAATTATTAAATAATTAGTAAGCTAGCATTTTTAAAATTAGAAAGAGAAAGGTATTATATTAAATTACATGCCTTATCCATTCCCACACATGCTTCTTTGGAAAGAATTTCAAGCATGTATTTCATCACATAATATCCACATGCCGTACTTCCAACTTGTTGAGCACACTACATTTGAATTAAATTACATTTAAAATTTTATTTAATAAAAAACAATAAAATATATGTAGTTTTACAAATGTATAAAATACTTACCAAAACCTTAGTCCATTTTGGTGAACGAGTGGATCCATTGCTTCTCAACAACTTTGCTGAATTGACACACCTAAAATTATAAGAGATTAGTATACATAAATACTTTATGACATCATACATACTTTATTAATTATACATATTAATACTTATAAGTTCACATACTTTTCAACAATCTCTTTGATGTCATCACGTGGCTGGCCTCCAATTGAATCAAACCAATAGATTTCATTAAGTTGAGGACAAATTGCCATCAACATCCAATGGTCACTACAAATCAATAATGTATTAGTTGTAAGTAAATATTATATATAATAAAAGTGTATTATATATAAGTTATTTTATTTGAAACAATTAAAACTTACTTTAAAATATATGACGCTAGATAGCATTGTTTTTGGCCATATTGCATGGTGACGTTGATATACCCTGTCCGTTAATCTATAGTATTCGAAACTGGTTGAATGAAATGTGGATCTAAGAAGCCATATGTGATTTTGATGCCAAATCAAATTTGTCATAAAGACCCCTATTCAAAAATACAATCAATCATATATATTAGTAATATAATAGATGAAATGAAAAATATTATATAAACAAATATAAGTAAAGAACTTAATTATTACCTTATAAAGAACTGCAATATGGAAACATCTAACGTCTCAATCCTTAAGAAACGCATAATCTCCAACGAGTCAAGTTGTAAGGGATAGTCAACATCGCCCACAATACCACGCTCCATCTTTATCACAACATTTTCATCAAGTTTGCGAACAATTTTATATACCTTTAGACATCGAGGACTCAAAGAAGTCGGATCAGCTATAGTCAGATCAACAAAAGGTCGTTGCACACCGAAATCATAAGTCATTTGTACATGTTCAATATAAGTAACAATTACTATTTTTAAAAAGTAAATTAAACACTATTTTAAAATCCAAAAATTTTTAAAATACATACCTCATCAGCTTCGGTATACAACTCAACCAACTTCTTTGGCCAAATAATAAAGTTGTGCAATGCATCCCTTAACAGTTGAACCTCATCAGTTACCGGGTTGTTTTGGGCCAGAAATCATCAAGGACAGTAATATATATTTGCGTTTCATACACTATCAAGGAGGTAGATTATAAATCACTAACATAACTGACCACAAGTCTAAGATTTCTGGACTCATTGCCAAATTCAGGAAAAACATTATCAAAGGTTTTCCATTGAGTAGAATCAGTTGGGTGTCGAAGCTTGCCATCAGAAATTTTTTGATCTGCATGCCATGTTAAGTTTTTCGCGTCGCTTGGATTTGCAAACATACGCTTAAATCTTGGAAGAATTGGGAGATACCACATAACTTTAGCTGGTGGCCCTTTCGAACTTGCCTTACCAACAACATGCTCTCTTATTTTGTACCGAGATGCCCCACAGATTGGACATGCATTCAATTCTTTGTAATCATTCCTAAACAATATGCAATCGTTAGGACAAGCATGTATCTTTTCATACTCCATACCCATGGGACACATAATCTTCTTTGCATCATATGTACTCTTCGGGAGTCCATTATCTTCTGGAAGCATATCGTTTATTAAATCAAGTAAAGCAATAAAGCTCTTGTCGCTCCATCCATTCCCAGCTTTTAAGTTGAATAATTTCAAAACAGCAGATAAGCGAGTATATTTACTACACCCGGGCCATAAAGGCTGTTTTGAATCATTTAATAATTCATCCAACTCATTTGATCGATTTGTGAACTCTTCTCCAACATCACGGAACATTTCGTCCAACCTATCTTCAGACTCATCATCTTCATTTGCTTCGCTGTCAACATACATGTTAGATGTACTAGCCTCTGATCTCTTCCTCCTTCACTGTGCCATATCCATTTTGTATAATTTAGATTAATTCCATCACAAATTAGATGATCATATATGTCCTTGTCACTTAATAGTTTTAGATTACAACACTTCTTACAAGGACACCAAAACGTTGCATCATTATTTGGAAGATGACGTTTTGCAAACTCTATAAATTCTCTAACTCCGGCATCATATTCCGTACTCAACCGAGAAGCTTTCATCCAACTTTTATCCATCACAAGTCAATCTAGGATAATATTAATTCCAATTAAACTTTTGTTAACATTGATTCAACTCTATCTAAAATAATTGGTGAAAATAGACTAGTAATTACAAATATATACAAATAAACCCTAAAATGCAAATAAATTGACTAAAATGTGAAATTAATCAATAATAATTACAAATATATATAAATAAACCCTAAAATGCAAATAAATTGACTAAAATTCGAAATTAATCAATAATAATTACAAATATATACAAATAAACCCTAAAATGAAAATAAATTGAATAAAATTCGAAATTAATCAATAATAATTACAAATATATACAAATAAACCCTAAAATGCAAATGAATTGACTAAAATTCGAAATTAATCAATAATAACTACAAATATATACAAATAAACCCTAAAATGTAAATGAATGGACTAAAATTCGAAATTAATCAATAATAATTACAAATATATACAAATAAACCCTAAAATGCAAATAAATTGACTAAAATTAGAAATTAATCAATAATAATTACAAATATATACAAATAAACCCTAAAATGCAAATAAATTGACTAAAATTCGAAATTAATCAATAAAAATTACAAATATATACAAATAAACCCTAAAATGCAAATAAATTGACTAAAATTCGAAATTAATTAATAATAATTACAAATATATACAAATAAAGCCTAAAATGCAAATGAATTGACTAAAATTCGAAATTAATCAATAAAAATTACAAATATATACAAATAAACCCTAAAATGCAAATAAATTGACTAAAATTAGAAATTAATCAATAAAACTTACAAATATATACAAACAAACCCTAAATTGCAAATAAATTTAATAAAATTCGAAATTAATTAATAATAATTAAAAAAAATTATAAAACTTACCGGAGATGGCTCCGTCAATGGCTGGCGGCGGCGGCGGAGGGCAGGGCCGGTTTGCGTCGATGGCTGGCGGCGGGGAGGAGAGGGTGAAGCGGCGGCGGCGGGGTTGAAGTTGCAGCGGCGGGGAAGGAGTTGCAGCGACAGCGTCGGCGATGTGGACGATGCAGCGGGGTGGAGGACGTCGGCGAGTTGCAGCAGCGGCGGCGGAGGCGGTGGGAAGAAGATGGATGGAAGAGATGGATGCGGTGGGGAGGAGAAGATGTGGTGGTGCGTCTGACCGTAAGTCTCAGATCTGGGCTTATTTATAAACTTTATAACGTCAGCTAAATTATTTAGCTGACGTTATAAAGTAAAAAAATTAAAAAAAAAATTTAAAAAGAATACGATGTCGGCTAGATAGTTAGCCGACGTCGTATTATATTTATTTCTTTTTTTATTTTTATTTTTTAGTATATAACGTCGGCTAAAAGAAATTAGCCGACGTTATATATAAATAATTTTTTAAAAAAAATAATTAACAACCTACGACGTCGGCTATTAATACAGCCGACGTCGTAGGTTATGTATTTTTTTTATATTATTATTTTTTGTTTATAACGTCATTATAAACTTAATTATAAAAAAAAATTTAAATGTTTTTAATGTTGGCTATATGTATATAGCCGACGTTAAACACCCGACGTTGTATGTGAATTCTGTAGTAGTGCCTAGGGTGCATAACCTTGAAATTTGGATGAACGTGAGAAACCTATGGTCTACTTACATTTATTTATTTCTACCCTACTCTCACTGTTGTGGTTTGAACTTATTTCAGTTTTGTTGTAAGTATAGGTTCCGATAGTGACTGTGGACAACAACCTCGTTTTACAGTATTTGCAAGAACGTAGCTGCATGAGCGAGGAGATTAACTGTTTGCGGACTTTGAAGATGAAATTTTTCCATGGGTCAAGAGCTCAAATGCTTTTTGTAAAACTAATACTTGCGTGCTGCCCGGCCTTAGAAAGGGTTAGTTTTGTGGACAAGAAAGTGGAGGCATCGGAGGTCTCTAGTATTTTGAAAGAGTTAGTGGTAATCCCTCGAGCTTCAAGGAAAGCACAAATCATATTCTGAACTTGTGACTAAAATTATGTGGTTAAAATTTTCAATTTCGCAGTTTGAAATTATGTTGGATTAGTTCCAAATAGGTATCATCTCATGTATTAAGTTCCTTATTTTCTTCAAAGAATACCTATATGGATTTCCTAGCTTCCCCTTTCAGTACACTACATTGTCCTCTGCTAAATTATATTGATATTCCCTGTTGTCTTTTTAGCCGGCACTCCGGTCTTAATAGAAATAAATGTGATTTTTAATGACTCAATTTTAATCATTTATTACATAACTAGTGATTTACCCATGAGATACACAAAATAAATTATATTATCATGAAATTAAATAAAAAAAAAATTAAAAATCAAAAGATATTAAAAGTCAGAAGTTACCTAAAATTCTAAACCAATTAAACTGGTTGAAATCAGAAAATTATAAATGTATTTTTTTTTTTTTTGAATGTTACTGGCCCTATTAGTGTATAAATGTATAATTGCACATATATTATTGTAATGACAATCCACTTTTAGTCATTCTTTTTCAGAAAATCCCTATTTGATCCTAGTATTATTATGGCATGATCATTTTTGGTCCCCCACCAACAAAATCGTTGAAATGTCATTAAATACAAGGACATTCCGAAAATGTCAATACAAAGTGGGTTGACCCGCTATAATTTTTATTTTCAATTTTTAAAAAGAAATTCATAATTGGAGACATAAATGTCCTTGTATTTTACGAAATTTAAATAGTTTTATTGATGGAGGACAAAAAATTGTCATGACACAATAATACTAGGACCAAATGATAATCTTTACAAAAAAATGACTAAAAGTGGATTGACACCTATAAATGTAGGACTAAAAATGGAATTAACTCTAATAATTATTATGGTAATTAAGCTAAACATGGACCGTTGGATTTATTTTTATAATAACTATACTAGTATTTTCACTCATGTGTTGCACAAAATAGATTTGTTATATAATTAACAACGAATATTATATAGTGCAATTGATAAATTGGGTTGGATCGATTATATTTTTTGATGTTATCCTTACTTGAATTCGACCAAATAATTTCCCAATTACTCGTGCGATGCACAAATAATTTTTTATTATATATTTAGATTATAAAATTAAAGATGAAATTATACACAATTCTAATATTTAAAAGTGTACATTTATTTGATTATAAGTTTAGTGCAAAAGTATCACTCAATTAATTGAATAATATATGACTCGTTTGTGTGCAATTATCTTTAAAAAAATCGATATGTAATACTCCGTATGATTTATGTAATTATACTAATACTAAAATAAATATGGAAAAAATAGAAATAATTTAATTGTAATTATTATACAAATAAATCCAACAACTCATGTTTAGCTTAATTATCATAATAATTATTATGCAATTATACTAATATCTATGCAGTTATACTTTTATACCTTAAATATATTCCTTTTAACCATATCGCTTTCACTTTTTTCTTCCTTCTCTATATCTGAATGAATTAATTGTAATTATTACAAAAAAAAAAGAAAAAAAAACCAACAACACATGTTTAATTGTAATTATACTTTTTTAAAGGAATTGTAATTTTACTAATATCCATGTAATTATTAGTTTAATTAACATAATAATTATTAGTCAATGATAATAATATATGTGAAATTAATTTCTTAATTAGGTAATTATACCAATATTGTGCAATTATACTTCTATACGCTAGGCGGTCGGCTACCTAGGCGCCGATTAATCGCTCTAGGTGCCCTAAGCGGTCCCCAGGATGAGAGAGCGCCTATAGATTTTTTTAACCTTGATATATATATATATATATATATATATATATATATATATATATATATATATATATATATATATATATATATATATATATATATATATATATATGGTTGCATTCAAATACAAATCCCCTTAAAATACAAACCCCCTTAAAATACAAACTTGAGCTCGTGCACACATTAACATACTTACATGCACACAGGGCGCACTGCCAACAATTTCTGGGATTAGCTCGTGCACACATTAACATACTTACAAGCACACAACGCGTAGGAGGAAAAATCACAATCATCCATCAAAGCTCGTACACACATTAACATACTTACATGCACACTGGGGACATTACCAACAATATCTGCAATTAGCTCATGCGCACATTAACATACATACATGCACACAGTTTGTATTTTAAGAGGGGTTTGTATTTGAAAATAATCATATATATATATATATATATATATATATATATATATATATATATATATATTGGTATGATTTAGGTCGTTATGGTATTAATATTTTTTGTATGTATTTTTATAATAGTACAATTGTACATTACTTTACAAATATTATACTATCATTTTTTTATCAGACAAAATTGTTCTCACATCATTGTCAGACCTGTACGACCTAACTACAAAGTTGTTGATTATAAATACAATTACATCTGGACTCTAAAACAGTAGGACAATACTTCAAAGAATTGACAATGTTGACATCCAACTGGCTCCAATTGAACAAGTTTACACATTAGAATTTTATCAATGCATTAAAACTTCAAAAGAAATTTGTAAGTTAATTTTTACTATATATAATGAGAATAAACTAAATATTGTAACTATATATTTTGAATTATTGATTATCATCCTCTATTGACAGTAATTGTAACAATTGTCATTGATAAACTCTCAAAATAATTTGTCTCAACAACGAGTGTAAATTTAAAAAAAAATCAATGATTTCATTATTGTTGATGAAAAGTATGTACCTCAATTTATTACTCTTATTAAATTAAATAAATTAGTAGCTACAACAAAAATAATACATATGCATTTAATTAATTTAGAATTAGATGTCTATAATGTCTTTATTTAAAAAAAATTATTCATTATAAAAAAAATTTAAAAAGATATATAATTTCATTAGTTATATATATTATCTTTATTTTCTATAATTCAAACATTTCATCATATACACAACAAAGCAAATCTAAAGCTTCATACACCATAATCTCATTGCACGACGAATCCATCTATGCTACCACCAGTAACCCAGTTGCACATGACACACTACCAATATCATGTTTAGTTTATGCTCTGTTTGAGAATTAATATTAGATTTGCCTTTATTCCATAAGTTTTAAAAGTTTAAAAATTTATGGGTGTTACACTGTGAAGCTTGATTTCTTGACTTGTGCAAATCTTATGGATTTGACCTTCTTGGACTGTTAATTCTGAGGTTTATCAGTAACCCATGAGCGAAAGATGTTGAATCTCTATATATTCCCCAGATTCCCTTAAAGGAAATTTGTAAAAACCCCTGAAACTGCTTAGATTACTCTCTAATGAGGTTTTGTGGGGATATTTTGCAATTCTTGTTGAGACACTAAGTTAGAATTTGTAAAGGTGCTTTTGGGGAAGAGTTTAGTGAAAAAAAATGACTGTGAGGGTTTTGTGAAAGAAAGGAAGCAAGAAAGAACACTTGAATTAGTCATCAGTGAACTTTGGCTTTGTAAATATGCATGCTAATGCTAGGCATCGTAGTCCAGCGACTGCATATAATAGTTCTAACAATAAAACAATTTATATATGATATAATCTTAACAGTGACAACTCTTGCAAGATGAAAGTAATTGTTGACACACTACAACAGAGATCTTCTTCAGACCTACAAATGAAATCAAATATATCTTCTCAAGCTACTACACTTGAAGATGTATGAAACAACAAGAACACTGATCATAGAGTTCAACAATATTTTATAACTGGGGATTTTGCCAGAAAACAACAGAATGGAAACTTCATTTTTCTAGGGAGAAAAGACAGCACTATCAGTCTTAAGATTGTTTTCCCTCTATTGACTAATGCCTGCCCATATTTTCTTCTTTCACTCTTTCGAAGCAGAAAGAGGTTTAATTTTAATTTTTAATATTCTGTTCAGCTTAGACTATTTCATACAAAGGGCAGTCTGTTAAACTGAGAGATGAAAATGATAACACGGTTGTTATAGGTCGAAATATTGTATTGAAGAGTAATGAAGCCACGATGCTTTGAATTTTGAAAGCTTTATAATTGTAGTTGGGACCTATCAGTTTGCTGAATGTTGAAATATGTATTCCAATGTAGAAATGTTTGGGAGAGTTTCTATGAAGAAAAATCCAGAGAGAAATGTTTTAGAAAATTGGTCCTTGATTTGCTAACAAGATTTAGACTGATTTTTGTTTTCTACCTATGTATAAATACCTTGAAGGGACATGTAAAGAGGCAATTTTTAAAGTATTGTCTTGCTTTAAATCCTTGCTTACGTTCTTGTTACTTAGCTTGTTCTTTATATACAACAATTTGTTTCGTTCAAACAAGGAATTGTGCTTGCAGATCGAAAGCCAGTTAAAAGTGATAAAACCAACAATACTATCATGTAAGCATAACCAGTCTGCATGAAAACAACTACATATAGGCCTTGTTTGGTAAAAAATTGGCCTATAGGCCAATTTTGGCTTATTTGACCAATATTAATTGTTTGATTTAGTTAAAACATCAATATAAATATTTGGTTAATTAGCTTTTTGCAACTCCAAAAGGTTAAAATTCAAAAAGCTACTCCAAGCAACTTTTTCAATTAGCTTTTTAAGAAAATAAATTATACAAAACAGCTATCAGCTAACAGCTAATTTACCAAACACTTTTCTATAATCAACTAATGTTATCAATCAGCTAACAGGGCCATAGTCTGTATTTTCCAGTTGAATGACTTTGTTTGTCCCAATCCTTCATTCCCCCTGTAAATTATTTAACATTTTTCCCAAATATATATGAATCATAATAAAATATTAGAACTTTGAACGTAATGAGAAGCGAAGTGAACCAAATAATGTATCTGTCCAAATTTTCCTAGAGAAGCGAAAAAAGCAAAAAAAAAAAAATATATATATATATATATATTGACTTTATAGCCAGAGGCATCTGTAATGTTCAGCTTCAATCAGCTAAGCTCCCTCAAAAATAAGGTAATTAAGTTCTAACGATAAAGGCACATGACTAAGGCAAAAGTGCATCTCTTTCTATGTAAGGTTGGCCATCAATTGATTTAAGCTAGATTAT